ATGGAATTCCTCAGTGACAGTAATGAGGCGGCTGCTGCTGATGTTCTCGAGTTTGTGCGAGAAGCTATTCAGAGTTTTGATAAACTTCGACCAGTCATCATTGAGAAGATGCTGGAGGTGTTCCATGCCATCAAATCTGTCAAGTAAGGGCATAGAATGTCCTACATGCTACATTATAACTGCCAAACAAATCATTGTCACTCTAGTATATTTGATTTTTATCTTTTATTAAAGTTTAGTCTTACTCTTAGAACATAAGCTAATGATTTAAGTACACTGCGTGAGCAAGTTATGAAAGTTGCAGTTGAACAGAAGTATAATTTTTTGTTAAATACATTCAACCAGCAAAACTGATACTTTGTAAAATCTGAATACTACCTCTACAATCCCACATCTACTTTGATCAGGGGAATAAGTTGTCCTGAAATTTTCAGGACTGTCTCATCCTGCATCCCAGGTCGAACTTTCCTGGGAATGCAGTTTGTCCCAGATTTCATCAATCTCTGAAATTGCCTCATCTGTTATTGTGTCAGTAGCAAGGCATTGAAGTAGTATTGCCCAGCAGGTTTGCTGTCATTTTGAGTTTTGATTTCAGTTTATTTTCAGATTGCAAATACCAACTTTAGTTTTAGTTCAGTCATGAAATTGTCTTCAATTCATTCTAATCATAAAATTAATGTGTAGAATTTTTTGCAGAAGAGAAGTAGTATTCATAAATAGAAAGCCCATGAATTTGATTAATCTTAACTTCTTCAGAGTAATCTTACGGCCCTCAATGTTTTATATACTTATTTCTTATTTGTCACAGAATATACCGGGGAGCTCTCTGGATTCTGGGCGAGTACTGTAGCTCCAAGGACGACATTCAGAGTGTAATGACTGAGATTCGTCGGTCATTGGGTGAGGTATGTCTGGAATATGTGAATTTCTTTTCCTCCTCCCTTTGGTTGTTTTTCTCCATGCCATAGACAAAATAATAAATAGGTTGCTCACATACTGGTCTCTGCTCAAAATGCTACACAGCCCTCATTGCTTTGTATCCCAGCATTCTCAAAATAAATTGGAAAACATGCCCTCTAGAAAAGGGTTGAGAGAATCTGTCAGATGAATATGGTTTTCCTAACCAAGCCTTAACTCTGAATAACTAATGTGTGTAAGCAACAATTTTAAAACAAAACTAACAACATCTACTGAAACATTTTAGGTTGTGTTTAAGTTAGCATGTACAGGTCCGGTATCCGTTATCTGTATGTTCAGATATCAAAAAGACCTAAAATCTGCAGGTCTTTTCAGGAGCTGACCTGAATACACTTGTAGACGTGTTGAGTTTGTGTTCTTCGGGGGAAAGAAAATCTTTGCATTTAGGTCTGTTTGGGTTACGTGAAGTTTTTTCCAAAGGATCCAACAGGACTATAATGGACCCAAAAACTGAAAATATCCTTTATTCAAAATCTAAATGGCCCTGAGGTTTTGAATAAAGGATTCCTGACCTGTACTGATTAATTTAAATATTAGTTCTGCTAAAAATGCCATCCTTCCAGTCCACACATTGGAACTGCTTTAAGAAATATCATCAGTGATAAATAAAAGTAATGTTTCTGGTATTGTACAGAAGAGGCCCTGATGTTGAAGAAAGTAATCTGAAGACGTCAATAAAGGATTATTTTTTCATTAATGTGAAATTCATGTGGCAGTCCCAAAAAACACTGAAATATCCAGAATTGCCAAATTGATTTGATTGAACTCTTGCAAAAGTATATGGACACTGTTTGTAACCATAGATGTTGTACTTATAATTCGTTGATTCCTATATTACTAGATTCCAATAGTTGAGTCTGAGATAAAGAAAGAAACAGGTGAACTGAAGATTGATGGTGATGTTCAGGTGATTCCAACACAAAAACTTGTGACAGAAATGGGAACGTATGCAACCCAGAGTGCCCTTAGCACAAGGCCTTCAAAAAAGGAGGAAGATAGGTAATGTTTGAATTTTTTCAACTGGTTTTAAAAATTGGCACTTAGCTAAAATAATAGAGATAAATACTTATTTTGGGATTGAAATTGTCAATTACCTCCCTCTAATTTGCATATTAAAACATAAAAACAACACCTCGATATATGAACATGTCTATGCATAGTCTTCCTTGCCCAGAATGTGATTAATTTCCCTTTGTGGCAATGAGTAGTATCAGCATTGCTTTTCCAATACGTTCAAGGGTTGTGGGTGTCACGAGGCCAACATTTATTACCCGTCCTTAATTAGGACTGGTGAACTGCCACGTTGAGCCACTGCAGTAAATTGATAACGTAGTAATGGACTAGCTTGGATTTGGTGTGGTTCTTGTGTATACAATATACCTAGACTATTTTCCCTATTGTCGGATAGATGCCAATGTTGTAGCTTTAGTGGAACAGCTTGGCTAGGGTCACAGCTAGTTCTGGAGCAAAGTCTTCGGTATTGTTGCAGGAATGTTGTCAGGGGCCATAGCCTTTGCATTTCCAGTGCCTTCAATTTTTTGATATCATGTGGAATGAATCAAATTGCCTGAAACTGGCATCTGGGGTGCTAGAGATTTTGAAGGAGGCGGAGATGGAACTTGGCACTTCTGGCAGAAGATGGATGCCAATGATTCAGCCTTGTTTTTTAACTGCTGTGCTGGGCTCTCCATAAGTAATGTGGAGGTAATTGTGGTATCACCTCTTCCTGTTAGTTGTTTAATTGTGTATCACCTTTCAAAGCTCTGGCAGGACAGCAAAGCTTGAATCTGATCTGTTGATTCTGTTTATCACATGCTGCTTCCATTATTTGGTATGGAGTAAGCCCTGTGTTATAGCTTCACCAGGCTGACAACTAATCTTTAGGTATGCCTGGTACTACTCTTGGCTTGACCTCCTGCATCTTTAATTGAACCAGGGTTGGTTACCCAGCTAAATAAAAACCGAAAGAACTGCGGATGCTGTAAATCAGCAACAAAACCAAAGTTGTTGGAAAAGCTCAACAGGTCTGGCAGCATCTGTTAACAGAGTTAACATTTCAGGTCCGGTGAAGAAGGGTCACCGGACCCGAAATGTCGACTGATTTTTTTCTTCATAGATGCTGCTAGAGCTGCTGAGCTTTTCCAGCAACTTTGTTTTGGTTGCCCAGCTGATGATCGTGGTGGAGTGGATAACATGTTGGGCCAGATTGTGGTTAAATTAAATTCTGCTGCTGCTGATGGCCCACAGTACATCATGCATACCCAGTTATGAATTATTAAACCAGTTGAAAATCTATCCTATTAGCACACAAAACAATTGGCGAGGGGGAGGTGGTATATCCTTGGTATAAGTCTAAGAATTTCATGTTAACTGATACAAGGATTGTAAAAATCAAACGTCAATGTATGGCTCATAAATATGTAATTGAGCATTTTGCAATTCTTGGTTTTATCATAAAGTTACCTGAATCTTAAATAAAGGTGTTCCTATTTTCTTAAAGACCACCCTTGCGAGGGTTCTTACTGGATGGCGATTTCTTTGTGGCTGGTGCTCTTGCAACTACACTGACCAAAATAGCTTTGCGTTATGTGGCACTTCAGCAAGACAAGAAGAAACAGAATGTAAGTCATAATTGAGATTATGTTTGAAAATATGACTTGAAAGCGAGAAAGCTACGTCTGTTGTGTATGTGTTTAAATGAAACAGTAAACTGAAACAAACTTAAAAATAGATTTTCTGAGCTGTTCAGTGAATATTAATCCATGTCTAAGTTATTACAAAATGGACCAGTTAATTTAGGCATTTTAATGCTGTTGAGAAGTTAGAAATTGATTACATTGATTCATGTTCAAGGAATATGCAGACAGTCGAGTTGTGAATACAAACAGCCAGTAGCTTCCTATTATAAAGTGTGGAATCCATAAAGTGCAGCAGATCAAGGGAAGCATTATTAAATAGATAAGCCAACAGCAATTTGACTTGATCAGTGTGGGAATTTTACTGGTGACAACTCAAATTTAGTGGAACAGAGGATTCATTTGAGCTTGATGCTGGGACCGTTATTGTTGACTGTTTTGCATTAGCAACTTGAACTCTGGATTCAGAAGTACAATTTAAGAATTTCTGAATAACATAAAATTGGGTGAGTTGTGGTTACTAAAAAAAGAGTGTGTAGCAAGTTGCTACAACATAGTACAGTAATAAACTTGCAGAATGGGCAAATTTATGTCAATATAGAAACCTCTGAGATGCTGATTTTGAAAGGAAGCTTGGAAAGTAATTGGGAATCTGAGTACTGATATACAAATCACTAAACATGAGGATGCAAATTAATGCCATTACATCAGCAAACCCGGTTCTAGCTTTCATTTCTAAAAGGATAGAATTGAAGAGCAGAGTTATTTTGAACTTGTGTGGAGCCTTAATTATACACAGTTAGAACACTTGAGTTTTTTTTTTGATCATCAACCTAGTTCTTGAGATAGAGGGATTGTCCTCTGAGGTAAGAATGAAGAGAATTTAAAAGAATTTAAAAGAATGAGAGGTAATCTCCTGAAAACGTAGTTAATTGTTAACAACGTTCCTGCTAAGCTGCACAGCTGGTCCAAGGGTTTGCCTATGCCAATGCATTCACTTCCGAATTCTCCAGAGAAATTAGAGGGAACTCACCTTACAGGGGTCAACTGGTGGACGCATGAAGAATATTTTCCCTTGGATGGGGCACTCTGGAACCAGGGAACAGTCTCATAATGAGGGAAAACCATTCTAGGATTGAGATGAAGAAGGATTTCCTACCTTGCAGGGTGATGAGTCTTTAGAATTCTCTCCCCCTGAAAACTCTGAATGCTCAGTCAGGAGTATGTTCAAGACTGTGGTTGGTACATGTCTAAACATTAAAAATATCCATGAATATGGGGCTATTGCAGGAAATTGGTGAAGTAGAAGACCAAGAGTGGGGGATTCAATTACTCGGGGTCATGATTTCAAGGTGAGAGGGGAAAAGTTTAAGGGAGATTGCGTGGAAAGTTCTTTACGCAGAGGGTGGTGGGTGCCTGGAACGTGTTGCCAGTGGAGGTGGTAGAGGCGGGCACGATAGTCTCATTTAAGATGTGTCCGGACAGATATATAAATGGGCAGGGAGCAGAGGGATACAGATCCTTGGAAAATAGGTGACAGGTTTAGATAGAGGATCTGGATCGGCGCAGGCTTGGAGGGCTGCAGGGCCTGTTCCTGTGCTGTAATTTTCTTTGTTCTTTGTTCTTTAACCAACTGTGATCTCATTGAGTGATGCAGCAAGCTTGAAAGGTGAAATGGACGACTCCTCGTTACTTATTTTTATACGAACGTTTCTTGTCTCCATCTTTAGTAAAAGACGTAAAGGTATGAGAAAATGCAAAAAAAACCAGGCACATGGACAATGTCAGACTGAACGGTTATCACTGTCAGGCAGGACCTTACAAGCTGGGATTCTTTTTCCTGAAAAGCAGGAGCTGAGAGGTGATCTGATAGAGGCCTTTGAAATCAAAGAGTTTTATAGGGTAGAATTAGACAACACTTTTCCACTTCTGGAGAAGACCAAAATGAAGGGCCATGAATTTATCGTAGTCACTTATAAATTCAGTGGAAAATACAGGAATAAGTTAGTTATTTCCTATTGGGAAATGGTAGAACAAACAAAATCAGAGACCCCGGACGCCTGACGCAGTAGAGAGGTGAAGTGGAATAAGAGTGCGCGTGATAGGTAACTAGAATCAATTAGACACCAACGAAGACACTTGGATGTTGAGAAGCAGCATGTTGAGTTATTGTGAGTATTTTGCATTTGTTTTACCAAAGTGATGATGTTGTTGAAGTCAAGCTCATAGAGGAGGTAGTTATCAGTGGGTGAACTAAAAATTGATCAGAATTTCAAGAAAGGCTGACTCTACTTGAAGTTTAATGTTCACCACTAATGTCCTTCAGGGGAGGAAATCTGCCACCCTCACCTGGTCCGTCCTACATATGCCTCCAGACCCGCAGCAATGTGGTTGACTCTCGATTGCCCTCTGAAATGGCCTAGCAAGCCACTCGGTTGTACCAATCACTACAAAGTCTCATAGAAATGAATCCGGACGGATCACCTGGCAACACCCTCGGCACTGGAAAAGCCAATGGTGGAAACAGCCCTGTCGACCCTGCAAAGTCCTCCTCACTAACACCTGGGGGCTAGTGCCGAAACTGGGAGAGCTGTCTCACAGACTAGTTAAACAACAGCCTGACATAGTCATACTCACGGAATCATACCTTACAAACAATGTCCCAGACACCACCACTACCATCCCTGGATATGTCCTGTCCCGGCAGCACAGTGGCGTACAGTCAGGAGGGTGTTGCTCTCGGAGTCTTCAATATTGACTCCGGACCCCACGAAGTCTCACGGCTTCGGGTTAAGCATGGGCAAGGAAACCTCCTGTTGATTGCCACATATCGTCCTCTCTCAGCTGATGAATCGGCATTCCTCCATGTTGAACAACACTTGGAGGAACCACTGAGGATGGCAAGGGCACAAAATGTACTCTGGGTGGGGGATTTCAATATTCACCACCATGAGTGGCTCAGCAGCAGGACTGCTGATCGACCTGGTCGGGTTCTAAAGGACATAGCTGCTAGACTGGGTCTATGGCAGGTGGTGAGGGAACCAGCAAGAGGGAAAAACATACTTGACCTCATCCTTTCTAACCTGCCAGTAGCAAAAGCGTCTGTCCATGACCGTACCGGTAAGAGTGACCATCACACAGTCCTTGTGGAGACGAAGTCCAACCTTCACATTCAGAACAACTTCCATCGTGTTGTGTGGCACTATCCCCGTGCTAAATGGGACAAACTTCACACAGATCTAGCAACTCAAGACTGGACATCTATGAGGCCATCAACAGTAGAATTGTACTCCAGCACAATCTGTAAAATCATGGCCTGGCATATCCCCCACTCAACAATTACCATCAAGCCAGGGGATCAACCCTGGTTCAATGGAGTGTGCAGGAGGGCATGCCAGGAGTAGCACCAGGCATACCTGAAGATGACGTATTAACCTGGTGTGAAGCCACCAAACAGCAAAAGCAGCAAGTGATAGACAGAGTTAAGCGATCCCACAACGAACAGATCAGATCTAACCTCTGCAGTCCTGCCACATCCAGTTGTTAATGGTGGTGAACAATTAAACAACTCACTGGAGGAGGCTCCACAAACATCCCCGTCCTCAATGATGGAAGAGCCCAGGACATCAGTGCAAAAGACAAGGTTGAAGCATTCACAGCAATCTTCAGCCAGACGTACAGAGTGGATGATCCATTTTGGCCTCCTCCAGTGGTCCCCAGCATTACAGATACCAGTCTTCAGCCAATTTAATTCAATCCACATGATATCAAGAAACGGTTGGAGACACTGGACACTGGATAAGTGAGGCACCTGGCTGTGTGCAAACTTTTGAAAGTGACTGACTGGATAATTTGAGAAAGTGATTAATCAGGCATATGGGATTCTGGACTTTATAAATAGAAGCGTAGAGTCCAAAAGGAAGGACATAAGATGAATCTTTATGGAAAATTGGTTTGGCCTCAACAGGAGCATTACTGTCAATTCTTGCCACCACACTTTAAAGAAGTTGTAAAGGCGTTCTACACGCTGCAGATAAGACTCACAGGGATTGTTCCAGAAATGAGAAGCATCCATTGCATAAACAGATTTCATAAACTCAGTGTTCTCACAAGAGAAGATGGAGGGGAAATTTGATAGAGGCACAGAAAATTCAAGAGGGATCTGTACAGGGTAGGTGTAGAGAAATCATTACCATTGGCAGACTAGTCAAGACCGAGAGGGTACTGATTTAAGGTGAATGGCAAAAAAAATCAGGAGGAAATATTTTTAGGGCAGTGGGAAAGGGATGGAAAAAAGAATCTTAGCTGAGTTACACTTGCAGAAAGCTACTACAGATATAACTGGTTAAATGACCTCCTTCTGTACTGTAACTACTTCCTGGTTCTATCTAAAGAGTGGTTAGAATATTGAACTCATAAGAGCAATTGAGGTGAAAAGCATTGATTAATTTAAAGTAAACTAGATAAGCAAATGAGAGAGAAAGGAGGGGAATGGTATGATATTCGGGTTAGGTGAAGCAGGGTGAGAGAAAATTTGTGGCATAAATGTAATGCTACTCCTGGGTTGCCACAAATATTAATATAATTAAAGCATGCAGAGTGCCTGATTTACCTGACTGTTGGAATCACGTTTATAGAGAATATTTAGCAGGTTCCTGTACCTAAATACTCTTTATTACAAATAAATACATGCTAATCACAAGCAGCTGCAGGCTATCAACATATGGCTGTATTAGTTAAATATCTAATCCCCTTATGAAACCCTTGTAACCTTAAATAAGCATAGATAAACAAATTATTTGTTTTATGGGTGGAGGGAGAAAACTGGGAAATGTAGTTCAACAGCCCAACGGTTCATTGAAGTTCCTTTTGGTTTGTCAGCACTTTTTGTTCTTTCACTTCTTCACAGGATGCAAGAGTGATCAGTATGGTCATAGAGATCTACAGCACAGAGAAATGCCCTTCGGTCCACAAGGTCTAGATTGGATGAGCTAGACCATTATAATGGAGTGCAAGGTTGATTAGGAACCATTCATATGTCTTACAAATTGAGTTTCAATATTCCTTTTTGTACAAGGTGAAACAGAGAGGCTGACTGGAATTTTGTAATTATTTTGTGTCAATTCATCCTTAAAGGGATGTGGAATTCCCCAAAGAGTTGTGAATTTCCATATTTAATCAGGTATTCACTTGAGACTTAGGACTGTCTGAAACTCCAATGCAAAGGTCTTATGATTTGCAGTAGCCATTTTAGTAGTCTTTGAGTCCTGTTTTAAAATATACGAACATTAAAATATGAGTAGAAGACAAAGATCTCAAAAAGATACAGATCAGTTAAGTGTTAGGGCAAGAAGTTGGCGGTGGATGGAGTATAATATTGTAAATAGTGTGCACTCTGATACTTCTGTGTGTGACCTATTCATTGAAGTGAACATGCTTCAGATCTTTCCTTTAGTTATGCACGAAGTTATTTGTAGGGGCAGATTTATGCATAGTTTACACAGCAACTCCTGGATTGAGAGGAAACACTTTTCACAAAGTGTTGTGAATCTTTGAAATCCTGTACCCAGGAGGGCTGTGATACTCCGTTCTTGAGTACGTAGGACTGAACTTGTTTGATTCTTCATCATGAGGTATTAACAAAAATGGGAATAGAGTGGAAAAGTGAAATTAATGTAGAAGATCTTATTGAATGGCAGTGCAGCTTCATAGGCAATGTGGTCTACATCTCCTATTTCTTACATTTTTCTATTTTCTTTTAAAAGTGTTTTGCTGCAGAAGCCATGTTGATCATGGCCAGCATTTTACACCTTGGTAAATCATCACTCCCAAAGAAATCAATTACAGATGATGATGTGGACCGTATCTCACTATGTCTTAAAGTCCTTTCAGAGTGTTCCCCACTGATGAACAACATCTTTAACAAAGAATGCAGAAAATCTCTCTCTCAAATGCTATCAGCAAAACTGGAAGAGGAAAAGCTTTCTCAAAAGGTAATTGTATAAAAGTGTACTATATGTTATATTCATAGTTGTTCTGAATGTTGGGTAATTGTAACATTTCTGCTACTAAATATCCTGTGACTATATTTTATGAAGAGATACACTAAACTATATTCAAATAACTTCAACGGGGGTATGATTTGACAATACCAGGTAGGCATGCCAGTGTAATATTGCTGAATTTTAAAAACTCCAGCGTTGAAAAAAGAATAGAATCATATCAAATTTCCATCTGTTCTGTGACACAGCACAGTCTGAATAAAGGACGTTTATGTAATGACGCTGACATCCCACAGTGAAAAGGACATTCCGCTTTGGGAAAATGCACAAATAAGTAGTGTCAGACCATTTTCCCTTGCTGTAAATAGGCCTACTCCTCCCAGTTTTTGTGGATTGCTGTTTAAGAAGGTCAGCTTCAGATCCTAAGGGTGATACTCTAATAGCTGTTAAAATGTTAAGCTCTGCAGCATTTTTAAGAATCATTACATATGTGAGTAAATACCTTTGCCTCATACATGATGAATAAGTAGCAGCGCGGTGCTTTGAAGTTGTTATCAGCAAATAACCCTATGTGTGCTGAAAGGTTTTCATTAGAAACCTAATTCTCCTTGAGCTGTATTTCTAAAAATGTTTGCTAAAACATGACCTTCATAGGGGCCAAACTTCAGCAAAACATTAAAAACCAAAAGAACTGCGGATGCTGTAAATCAGGAACAAAAACAAAGTTGCTGGAAAAGTTCAGCAGGTCTGGCAGCATCCGTGGAGGAGAAAACAGAGTTAACGTTTCGGGTCCGGTGACCCTTCCTCAGAAGCATTGTCGGAGTAATACAAAATGTTATTCCCGTTGTAAAGAAATTGACACTGATAATGTTGGTTATCAGATTGCAAGCCCTTGTAGCTACTATTTGATTATAAACTTTCAACCAGGCTGTTATAAGTGTATCAAGAGCATGAGTGATAATATCTACACTGATGTCACGTGTCAGAGCTCCAGAGAAATTTCCGAACTGTCCAGAGGTTGGGACAGTTTTTGGAGCTTTATTTGAAATTATACCAAGTTGTGTCTCTTGTATCAAGTGTATAGCATCTGTCGAGACTCAACTTCCAAGTTAACTCGACAGTTATATTATTAATTGCTTCGCAGTGTTGAAGTTACAATATACAACAGTAGCTTGTTCAGTAGTTGACTTTGTCTTGCCTTCCACTTTGTTTTACCTTTCTTGGCATGTTTTGAACCTTTCTTTTAGATATGCTAACATAGCCAAAAGCTTTTTTTCCATTTAAAATAATGCAGATTTTGTGGTCAAATTTGAATTTATTTGAAGAACTCTTTCATTCATTCTCTGTTCTTGAAATAGCAATGTCATTCTACAGGCAAAACCAGTATCAAATTCAAGGGTCCAAATATGCACTCGGACAAATCTTTCTTTTTAGTGGTCGAGTATAAGACATCCAGCTCATCTGCTACGTAATTGTTCATACATTCTTCTGGTATCTCCTAACCTGATTGTTTCAATGTACTGCTGGCTGTCATCCGACTTTTAGAAAACTTGTGCTGCTTGGATCCTGACCTGCACCAAGTCTAATTCACTCATCTATAGTCACTGAGCTGATTTTTAATGAATCTGTTCTGTCATGTAATTACCTCCCAGGGCAGAGTCAGAAGATCTGGTTTCCAGAGGTAGGGACACTACCACGGCGCTAGAACTCTGTACTCACTGAGCTACACTGATCTTGCTCCAACAGTCCCTCAAATTTAAATTTCTCCCTTTTGCCTTCAAATCTTTTTGTAGTAATGTCTCATCTTCACAATGCTCTTTAATCTTTGTGTTCCTCCAGTTTTGGTTTCTTACATGCCCTGAGCTTGATTTAGCCACCAGTGATGGCCTTCAGCCATTTAAGCCTTATTCCCTGTGCAATAACCCCCCCGTTTTAAAGCATTTTCCAATAATGCGTTTTTATTTTTGAACAGTTTTCATTAAGGGAATCTTTTTTGAATAGTACTACCCACTTCTAAGCCTGAAGGGACTGAATGGACTTTTACTGTTCTTATTCCCGAATAATTTCTTGAATCTTCTAATGAGACGTGTTCCTGACTTTTGCTTGGGCTGTTTGCCTGCAGCTGCACTGCTCATCCTGGCAGTACTTCCAAGCAAAGATTTTGGTTTGCAGTCTTTCCATAGCCCTGCCATAAACAGCCAGTAAAACTTTGCATGCGCTATGCTTAGCAACAATCCTGAACTCTGGGCTGTTATTGATGCCACATCCCCAGTTCACCCCTGACCCTCTTCATGTTGCTGCTAACTATCTGGATTTTGCTAGTGTTGAGAAGGAAGCTTAGAGCTGGTAACTCCTGTACCATTTTGCACTCTCCATTGCCAAGAGAACAAGCAGCATGAGTCTGACAGGAAGAGTATCTGGAGTCAACCATGTCAAATTGCCAGTGAGAAATGTAACAACCCACCCTTATGACGGATCATCTTGGGGGAATTTTTATTTCTCAATTGCGTGCCATTTTCACGGAACATATTACACATGCTAAACACAGGCAATCTCCTCTGAATTTTCTCTAATCTCTTCCTCTTTTGAAATGCTTCATAAACACTCCTTCTCCTGTCCTAAAATCTCCTTGTATAGCTATGTTTCATATTTTGTTTGATAAGTACCATGGGATGTTTTACTACATTAAAGGTACTGTAAACATGTCACTTATTACTAGCTTGCATATGCTTGTTATTGTAATCTGTTGATCAATGCAGAATTAATTTTGGAAACTTTTGGAAATAATTTCTTCTACATTCTTTGCTCTGTGTTTTCATTGCACACCAAAGAAGCTGGTTAAATATGGCCCTTCAGACATTGTGAAAACTGGCAGGACTGGGTTAGAGTTCTGATTTTCACATTGAGTTTAGTACACTGTGATTGACACTTTAGGATTTTGACATGTGCTGACAGCTAATTTCTTAAAGAAGTGGGGAGCCTCTCAGTCACTTTACTCCTGCAAAAATGCCTGTTTGCTGTTTAAATTTATTTTGAGTACCTACCACTTTAAATTATTTTTCTACTTGCCATTTAGAAGCAATCCGAAAAAAGGAATGTGTTGGTACAGGCAGACGATCCCATTTCCTTTATGCAGCTGATGGCCAAGAATGAGATGACCTCTAAGGAGGACCAGTTTCAGCTCAGCTTATTGGCTGCGATGGGTAACACACAACGGAAAGAAGCATCTGATCCTTTAACATCCAAGCTCAGCAAGGTACTGTGAAAGTGCATGTCCATTCATGATCGTTAAGCAAAAATTTGTGTGAACCATAACTACAACCTATGCGTGATGCCAGATGCTTCCCCTGGTGCTGAGACGTATTCTGTGAATATGCATTAGTAGTCTTTGCATAAACAGAGGTTGTATCCTGCTAGTAGTTTTTTGTTATAGGTATGAGCATTTTTACTAGATCTTTCTCCTGATCTTTTTATGAACACTTGAAACTGGAACAGATCTGAGTTGAAATGCCTTAGATTGCCATTTAAGGTTAGGCATTGATGTATTTGTGTACTGCAACACAGATTTTTGCGTGGCATTCCAACAGACATTATCCACATAATGACTTGCTTAATATCGCGCAGCCATTTGAAGAAGCTTTGTCTGCTCTACTGAAAGAGATTGCACAGTTGATCAAAATATGGATACCTTTATAAAAGTTCTTTGTTTTATCTTGATGGTAGAGGGGTGCCAAAGGTCTCATATTTTCTGATGGATAGAATGTTCACCTAAAATAGTTTCACTTGAGCCATAATTTATAGCTTCAGGCAAACTGGTGGTGTTCAGTGGCGAGCAATGTAACCCACTCTTAATGTGTTATCTTCTGAGAACTAATGATCTCTAACTTTGCTTTGGCTTGTCCTTTTATTTATTTTGGGAGGTGACACGTTGCTGAAAATATGAGCTGACAACAGTCCAGTGAGGGAAGCCAGACATCAGGGATGGAATTGGACATGGTTTGTATCTGTTAACTCCCTAACCAGTCAGATGGATAGCACAAGGTCGAAAAAGGAAGTGTAGAGTGAGTGAATTCAATGCCAAATCAAGGTGGTGACTTTTAAGACTAGATTAAGAGAGAGCGATAAAAATTGAAAGAAATGGAATATTAAAACAAATACATTTTTTAAAATCTCCAATAATTAGAACCTGAAGAGTTGAGAATCCGGTTTTGTAATAGTGCGTTTTCAGTGCCAGAGGGGGTGACTGATATTATTGAAAGGGTACTTCAGTAGGAAATGACTTGATTGAGCTCGATGTAGCTAGCCAATTCATGTCTAACACACAGCTTCATGTTGGTCATTGCATTTCAATGACGAAACAGTATGCTTGATGCTTTTTTTTCCATGAAGTTAACGTTGGAACACCACATCGGGGCAACATTTTTTTATTGTATGTTTAAACTGATGTCTGCCCCTGTTTGATAGCCCTGCAATATTTTTCGTAAATAACAATGAGCACAATTAGCCTTGCTATTATTACGGTAGTAAGCTGTAGTCTGTCGTGCATAACTAGACTATATCAGTTTTCAAAAGATTTGATAATGTTACTAGTTAATTGGGTCGTAATTTGGACTCGGCAACATCTTTTTATACTACACGTGTATGTATCACATTGCAAAATGTAAGTTGACCTTTAATGCCTCAAAATCATCCCAAAACTGTGGGTCAACTTCTATATAGAATATAGATTGAATTGCTGGTGTAGGAGTAGGTGGTCATCATTTTGAATTGCGAGTAACCAATCCCCAATAATTCATATTACATTGAGATTTGATTTGCTGAGCAAATTGATTCTACAGGGTCCCTTTAAATTCAAGTTCATTGTCTTCTGCATCTGACATTGTTCCTGCTGTACAATGCTGGAAACTGATAATTTTGGCCTGAAGGCTTTTTGTGTCTGAGTTATCTTAGTTTCTGTTGCAACACTAGACATTTTCATTCCATAAAGTGCTACACCAATCATCTGATCTGAAGACTTCTGGACTGATTGTTTGATTTGGCTCACTTAAATTGGTTTTGTTCCTTTATTTGGAGGGCCCATTTCTGTTCATTGTTGCCAATAACATGACCTGCTTTGTGAGAGCGGGTCTTAAACTCCCATGCATCATCCCGACCCACAACTCAAATTGACCGTTGATCCCATGAGTCAACTTATAAAGGGAATGAAACATACATTTCTGCAGTGAAGAATTAAGCGTTGGTTCCTTATGTGACAAGGGTTGGTTACCATGTTAAGTATCGGTCTAAACATGATTTTTGGTTTTACAAAGTCTGATTGTTTTATATGTAGTGTTGACTTATGTACCACGATCTATGGTACCTGATGGAAGTGTGCAATATTTCCAAATTAGATGATAAATAAAGATTAGGAAATAATAGTTCATTCTTTGTACATGCAATCCTATTTTACGCAAGTCTGATCACCTTTTTACTTTGATCTTAATATACAACACATAACCACTTTGCACCAAAAGTTCTATTTTAGCAAGGTTTATTGTTCGCTCCCTTCTGGAAAGGAATATGAGATTAATTATATTATCCTCTCTTTCAGGTCACACAGCTCACTGGTTTCTCTGATCCAGTGTATGCCGAAGCCTATGTACATGTTAATCAATATGATATTGTACTTGATGTACTTGTGGTCAATCAAACCAGTGACACACTGCAGAACTGCACTCTGGAATTAGCCACATTGGGTATGTTTTCGTTGTCAAGTCAAAAATTCTGGGCACGATTTTTCGGGGATGGTCAGATTTTTCACCCTTTCACCCAAAGAATCCATGGGGACTGCATCGTCGTCAGTGACAGCAGACCCATAGCTATATAATGTTGTGTAAACTTTTAATTGGCTGGAGGCAAGACTTCCAGTTCTTACTCGGGATGAAGTCCTGCCTCAGTGAGTCAGATTGGCTGGCACCTTAGCCCACAGGATCAAGTAATACAGGACTCTTGAGGTGGGGATGGGAGGGTCAAACTGGAAGGAAGAATCCAGGTGGGGTGGGTTGCTTAATGTGGAAAGCAAATGTGAGACCCCACTCCCTTCCCAAACAGGATAATCTCTTGGATTTTCTTTTTGTTGCCACTTTTGGCATACTGAGCTGCTTGTGGCTGGAAAATCGTGGCTGTGTGGAAGTGGCCCCTAAATGATCTTCTTTTTCTGTGCCAGTGGGGAACGATACAAACATGGCTTCTACCTACTTTTTTTTTTCCTTTTGAGAATGGTGGAGAGGAAGAAGGGTGAGAATTGTGATGCACCTTCCATAGTATCCATAGAATCCCTACAGTGTGGAAACAAGCCATTTGGCTGACGAGCATCCCACCCAGACCCATCCCCTTACCATATCTCTCTAACCCTGTATTTCCCATGGCTAATGCACTTAACCTACACATCCCTGAACACTATGGGTAACATAGCATGGCCAATCCACCTAACTTGCACATCTTTGGACTGGGAGAAACCAGACCACCCAGCAGAAACCCATGCAGACATGGAAAGAATGTGCAAACTCCACACAGCTGCCCAAAAGTGGAATTGAACCAGGGTCCTTGGCACTTTGAGACAGCAGTGTTAACCACTGAGCCATCATGCTGCCCCAATCTTATTTAAATTTGTTTTCTCACCTTCATAGATCATTGGGTGAATGTACTAAGCATGCTGTGAATGTGGAGCATCTCAAATTAAGATCTTGGTGTTTGGTTACATTAACAGGCATGTAAGTGAGAGATTCTTAACCAAAACTAGGTTGCTTTTAGAACAACAGGAATAACAGGAAAAGGTAGTCTTTCTGCATTGCCTAAGAGGCCAAGTAGGAGAGCTTGAGGCAATGCTAGAACTGGAGTGCACACATCTTCAAGGAAAATATAAGATACTGCTTTAAAAGAGGGAAGAATATCACTAAAGCTATAATACTTACACTTTGAATATTGAGCAAAGACAGGACAAGTTCCTGATTATTTTTTTAAATTTGCCTTTTCTATGTCCTTAGATTGTCCTAAAATGTTTTACAACCAGCTACCTTTCTATGGTGTCATACAGTCTTTTACACTGTATCAATAAATGTTTACCATCTGAAAGAAAGCAGCTGCCAAAATGTAGAAATTCCTTAAAATGCACTGAAATATCAATCTACGTTCTGTATGGGAGGGTTCAAATGGGCTTTAAAGTTTCAATCTTTTGAGTCAAAGTATTAAGTGTTGTACTGAAAGCCATCATAAACAAATTTTATATTATATTTTGACCATGTTAATCATTTTATTAGGTTACTCTTTAATAAAGAAATGAGATCAGCAGGTGAATTGTGTTTGCTTTGTTTTTAATAGGTGATCTAAAACTGGTTGAGAAACCTTCACCTCTAACCTTGGCTCCACATGATTTTGCTAACATTAAGGCCAATGTGAAAGTAGCGTCAACAGAAAATGGCATTATTTTTGGTAATATAGGTGAGTAGGAATTTCGTATCTAGCTAAGAACAATTCTTTGTAGTATTGCCAAAGATTTATTGTTCTTACAGTTGTTGCTGCTTACCTTATTAAAGAAATATTTGGTGCATTTTATTGAACTAGCAACATGTCTTTTCTTTCAGCAATTGAAAAGAACAGTGTTATTCACAATATAAACCAATGTCTCTTAATGTTCTCTGCAATGGGGAAGTGAAATTTGAACTTTGTTTTTGTTTGAACTTACGAAATGAATGTTTCCATTGGAAAATTAACTGACTGTTGTATCTATTATCTGGGCTTGCAGTGTATGACATATCCGGGGCTGCCAGTGATCGAAACTGTGTGGTACTGAGTGACATTCACATTGATATCATGGACTATATACAGCCTGCTGTGTGCACTGATGCAGAATTTCGTCAGATGTGGGCTGAGTTTGAGTGGGAGAACAAGGTAGAGAAATAACCGACCAAAATAATGTTTCTCTTTTTATAGATTAACGTAAGTTTTTGTAAATGAATGGTTAGCTTATGTTAACTTGTTTTATTTTTCTGTTGAAGGTTACAGTTAATACAAATATTACTGACCTAAATGAATACTTGCAGCACATTCTTAAATGTACCAACATGAAGTGTTTGACTCCAGAGAAGGTGTGTACTGCTTTGATACTGAAGTTTTAATGGCAATTTGTGCATGTTTTTATGAAAAAGCCTGAGCACTTCATTGTTTGTTTTTGTGCATTGTCGATTTCTTCCAAAAGTCTGCTCTCTGTACTTGTTCTTAGTTGGTCGAAACAGCCCTGATTCTTATCCTGAATGCAATTGATAGCTATGTTTAAAAATAATTTTGAATACATTTGTCTTGTAAATTTCTGTGTATATAGAGTTCCAGAAGGTACTTGAAAAGCACCACAATACACATCTTAACAAATACGAAGTTCATGTGTTTGTAGTGGCATTGACACCCATTCTAGAAAATTGTCTAAGAGAAAAAGAGCTAAGTGTAATACTTCTCTTCAGTCTGAAAGAATTATATGGTGTGTCCTCCAGGACCATTGCTCCTTTTTTAATGCTGAATGATAAACTGGACTTGGGGTATATTTTTCAAGTTTGGAGGTGTCAACAAGCATGGTTATGTACTAAACCACAAGGCTGAAGCCAATTTTAAGAGGGCATGGACAGATGACTGAAATGAGCAGATGCGTGCAGATGAAATTGAATGCAGTGGAATTTGGAATGATACATTTTGAAGAGAAGATCGGCGATATAAAGTAAATAGTAAACAGTAAAGTGCATACAAGACCAAGAACTGTGGATTCACAAACGCAGATCTTTGACTGGATAAGTTCAAAAAGCTGTTTTAAAAAAAAAAAGTGCAGAGGATCTTTGACTTTATAAGTACAGGCAGAGTATACAAAAGCTATGTTCTGGTTATTTTTAATAATTGGTTGGTTAATTCTGGGAACTACATTTTAAGAAGGATGTCAAAACTTTGGAGAAGGTGGAGAGGAGATTTGCCAGAGTGGAACGAGGAGCAAGGGACTTGTTTTATGTAACAAGACTTGAGAAACTGGGATTGCTGTCCTTAGGGCAGGAGAGTTTGAAGGGAGATTGAATAGCCTTGTGTACAGTTGAGGGGTTTTGATCGTGTATATCAGTAGAAACTGATAACTAGCGGAAGGGTTTGTAACCTAAAACACAGGCACAGGTAATTGGCAAACAAGTATTGGTTATCCTTGCAATTAACCCACAACTTTTTATTTCTGTTGATCACTTGAATCTTCACAACACCCAAGTAACATTTTTCAAAAATCATTTTTGAAAGCTTAAGTATTTCTGTTTAAGGTTGTCCTGAATATTAATTGTAACATTGAATTTATCCCTTGATTTTAAGAAAGTGTCTCAAACCGGAGCACCTCAAATTTTGATGTATTGTTGTGAAACATGCAAATATGTTTTTTTTAGTAGAAAATATTTATTCCTGAATTCTAGGACTACTATTTTTATTTAGAATATGTGCTTGCAGGCTGTTGTATAACAGCCTTTCAGGAAGAGAAAAGCACAATGCAGATGCTCCACAACAAATGGTGTTAAAGTAATCAACAATAAAGCAAAAGTCTAAATAAACTCAAGTGCACAACATGCTCACCAAATGCAGAGGAGAAAACAACAAAGACAGTATATGTGAATTCTGTTTGTAGACCATAGGGTGAAGAAAATTCATAATTGAACTTGACAGTGATTCGGCTGCAGGGAACCTTGAATACAGTGACAGTGGGAACTGCAGATGCTGGAGATCTGAGATAACAAGGTATAGAGCTGGATGAACACAGCAGGCCAAGTAGCATCAGAGGAGCAGGAAAGCTGACGTTTCGGCTCTGGACCCTTCTTCAGAAAAATTGTCATTGGTTGACAAAATTGTCATTTTTCTGACGAAGGGTCCAGACCCTAAACATCAGCTTTCCTGCTCCTCTGATGCTGCTTGGCCTGTTGTGTTCATCCAGCTGTACACCTTGTTATCTTGAATACAGTGTTCATTTTGGTAGCTGTAACACGGGATGATACTCGCACTGTAGAGTTGGTGCCAGGTCCTAAGGTAATATTGAATGTAAAAGGATTGAATTATGAGTAAAATCAGAAGACATTTGACATGGTTCTATTAGTGGCAAATCAAAACGTGATCATAAGGACAGGAAATCTTGCACTGTATAATGCAACATATTCTGCTGAAATCTCACTGTAAAAGTTTTTGACTATATGGCAAATTGCTCTGTCTCTTTTCTAAGTTTAGGGTCATTTAAAGGTTAGGGCCAATAAGAGCCTGAGCTATGTTGTGGAGAGTTCAGTTGGTCTGGTTCTGATATCAGCCACGCTCCTAAGTTGCACTCTCTAGTATGATATTTTGGGGTGTTGCTGTGTTTTTTTTTTAAATAACTCTCAAGTCATTTTCACTTGGTATTGCATGTGCAATAATCCGTTCAAGCAGAACCAGCTAAAGGGTTGGGTTGTTTCGGTTACTTTGGGGTTTACAAGAACTGTAGTGGGGATTTTGACTATTTGATTGGCTGAAGAAGATGTGGAAAGTATGGATAGATATGTCAAGGGGATGAGAAGAGAGACTTCAGTTAGATAGTAAAAAAAACTCCCTTTGTGCAATAGATACATTATTCAGCTATAGGTGAGTTTTTTGTCACTTTTTTGCACAACAGAACAAAGTGGTATCATTGTTGACTGGTGAGATCCGGCAGAGATCCATCCTCTGTTTAAGGTTAGATAACAAAGTCTGGACAATCCAAATCAACACCAATTTTATATTTAACTGTAGTTCTTAAGCATGGTTGGCGTAAAGGGACTATGCTGAAACATGCAGTCTATATAAATCTCTGAGCTGGAATCCTAAGAGCATGTCATTGTAAAGAAACCAAATAATTAAATATATTTTAGATGATCCTTCCTTGCTGTGCACTGCCACCCAATGGAATTGTTACAAAGCTGCATGGTAACAGATGGTGCGATTAACAGCAAGAATAAGAATGCAACGGTTTGAGTTTGAGGTAGTGTTACATGACAGACCTTTTATTTTTATTTTAATAAATTGTTGTGTAATTTAGAGGCAGAAGAATAGCTAAATAAGTCATGTCACTGCAGGATTTATAGTTATGTTTTGGAGATTGAATTTCATGGCTTATCAGTTTTCTCTGAAAATCATGATTCATATGCAATCCTTGTTATGTTCGATTTCTTTTTTTCTTGTATCTGGAATAGACAAAAATGGTGAGTAAACTACAGTACATTGGTGGGTGTAGATATTTGGTGGCAGTGACAGGGGTTGCATGTAAGATCTTGGGCATTATTAAGCTTCAGATAACCGGGCTGGCACTGCTCGGGAAAAGGAGCTAATGTAACAGGATCTAGCAACAGAATGAGGAAACTTACTATGAATCTCATAATAATGTGAGAGAGGGTCCTGCTCCTGGAAACAGTGATTTCGATGTTCTGGTATGGCACAAATTTCAGGCTAAGATTCAGGTTCCTGTTTGAGTGACATTTGTCACATGTTGGGAAAAGAAGCGTGGAAGTAAAGAATGCGTTGAGTAGGTAACTACGAGCAGTAAGTGTGTTTGGGGGCCGGAACCAGCAATTGTTCCTTCCCCTGTCCCTTTTAGCAGGTTTTATCAAGGTAAGCAGAGACTAACTTTGCAAAACAACAATTGTAGGTATCAAGGGTGTACAGCCAGATTGATTTGCTCAGCTGTGCTCCTTCACTGCAGTTTATAAAATCTTAGATATGTACAGACACATTGAAAGCAGTACAGAGAGAACAAGTTCGGAGAAAAATTTAACTGTTCAGAATAATAGCATTGCTCAACTCAGGATTGCAAATTGGCAACTGAAAGTCCAACTGAGTCATGTTTGGACAAATAACCAACAGAAGTAGGTACTTTTAAAATTATTGTGACATGAAGCATATTATGCATTTTGTGAATCAAAAAACTTTTAAATTATTACAGAGATAGGTCATTGAAATCTGAGATAACATGATGAGTCAAGGAAGACCTCTGCTAACAAAAAAACTTAAATATTGGTTACAATTAGGACATAAAGCAATGCATTATTTCTGTGTGATGCCAAGATTATTTCTTTGCTTTTATATATGTATGGGGCAATCCCTTTCTGGTTAGAGTAAAATCTGCAATGAAAATTTACTTTGAGGCTTTATTGAGGATGATGAAGTGGTTCTTCATGTGCAAACCTCAAACTTCAGCTTTTTACTACAAAATTGCACAAGTGTGAATTGCAATTTTTCAAAAGAATTTCTCAAAATAAACAAAAATTTTTTTTAAAATGGGAAACTGTACAAAAAAGTTTTTGCAAATTCATTGTGACTAAATTTATCATCTCAGTTTTACTTTGCTATTTAAAATAATTTTCTGAAATTTGTTTTAATTTTCTGTTTCTTGCACACTTGAGACCACAGCATGTTTGTGCTTCAAGTGATTTATTTCTTCAGGGAGTTTTCCAGTATAAATTTGTTTCTGGAAAGAATGTTGATAGCAATGAAATAAATCAATTAGAAAACAGCTTAGATTGTGTACAACTTGACAACCTAATGTGAATGTTTTTATATTTTAGGCTCTTTCTGGTTATTGTGGTTTTATGGCTGCCAATCTTTATGCTCGGTCCATTTTTGGAGAAGATGCACTTGCAAATGTCAGCATAGAGAAACCAGTTCATCTTGGACCAGATGCCCCTGTGACTGGTCACATACGCATTCGGGCAAAGAGTCAGGTCAGTAGTAACATATACTAGAATAACTGACAGTTAACTGTAATCTATTTATATCAGACTATGCTTGTTATTGTCAGCACAAAATCTTAAACTGCAAAATGAGACTTTGATTACTTTAGCTGTAGCAAATGTTCTGTATTTCATCACGTCTTCACCATGTTTCTATTATCTTACAGGGAATGGCTCTCAGTTTGGGTGACAAGATCAACCTGTCCCAGAAGAAAGTAAAAGCATAGTGGCTTTTTCAGACATCCATATTGGCTTAAAGTTTTATGTTAGTTTAATCCAACAATATCCTCTTGTTTATCTATAAACAAAGATCATAGATGTTGAGTATTTTGAAGAGAACTTGTAATTTTGTTGAGCTGTCCACGAAATTAAGCTTCTATTACACATTTCAAAAGATGGTAGAGTTCTTTCCTTCTGTCTCCTTTGTTTTGCTCCAGAGGTTCCTTGTTTTACACTAAAGTTTATCAATTATAATAAAGATACAAAATTCTGCAAGTGTTCTGTGTTCATCTGTTTGAGTATGGGGATTATGTGAAGCTTCTGTATATAGAATTATGAACTAGTTTAAGATTATTTCTTTTGAATAGGACCATATGGCTACCAAAACTGCTGTTAAAAGAAAGGGATTACCTAAGGAAACTCGCGTCTTGTTATTAGATAGGAAAATGCGACTTTGTCTGGAAGAGACAAAATGATGTCGGGATGTCAGGTGAAACACATGCAATAAGGGAATATCTTTCATTATGTATATAGATTGGGCAACTCAAACTGTAGAGGAGAACTTCCTGGAGTGTACATGTGTTGATTTTCTGCACCAGTACATTGAAGAACCAACTAGAGAACAGGCCATCTTAGACTGGATATTGTGTAATGAGAAAAGAATAAGTTGCAGTCTAGTTTTGTCATGCCGCTTGGGGTTGAATGACTGTGATGTGGTAAATTCCTCATCAACCTTGTAGTTGATTCTGAGACTAGGGTCCTGAATCTAAATAGAGGAATTTGCAATGGCATGAGGCATGAGTTGACTGTGACAGATTGGGGAACATTACTTAGAGTGACAGTGGAAAGGCAATAGTAAACATTCAAAGAGCGCATGGATGAACTGCAACAATTGTTCATTCCCCCCCCCCCGCTGGCGCAAAAGTAAGATGAGAAATGTGACCAATCCATAGTTTACAAGGGATATTAGAGAGAGTTTTAGATCTGAAGATGAGGCATATAAATTGGCCAGAATAAGTACATTCTTACCACAAAGAAACATTTTAAAGTGATGGTCTGCACTCTGTGGTTAACTGAAGTTGATTGTGCTTTTACATCTGTTTTGATGTTTTTCCAAAAGTGAATGACAAGCCATATGATTGGTCAGAATGTAAAGAACGGCAGAGAATGACTAAAAGTATTATCAAGAATAAATTAGCATACAGAAGGAAGCTAGCTGGGAATGTACAAACGATTAGCAACAGCTTCTACAGAGATTTATAAAAAAGAAAAGTAAGTTCAGTGTTGTCGCTTTAGAGAGTGAGAATGGGGAGCTATTAGCCGATAAGTAACTGGCAGAAGGCATTTATATCTGTCTTCACTGTAGGATATGAAAAGCATTCAAGTAATATTGGTAAATCAGGAGATGCAAAAGAGAGTAACATGTGAAATTATAATCACAACAAAGTGATACTAAGCAAACTGAGGAAGCTGTCAAGTCTCCAAGTCCAGATTGATATCATGATAGGGTCTTAAATGAGGTGGCTATGTAACCAGGAGACGTGTTGGTGTTAATTTTGCAAAATTCTCTAGATTCAAGAATAGTTATATCAGACTTGGAAGTAATTAATGTAACCTCTCTATTCAAGAAGGGAGCGAGGCAGAAAGCAGGAACCTGCAGCCTTGTTAGCTAGATGTCATGAGGAAGACATTAAAATTGATGGCTAACTGACGGGCACTTGGAAAACCTTGAGGTAATTATAAAGAGGCAGCATGGTTTTGTGAAGGGAAATTCCTGTTTCACCAATTTATTAAACTTCTTTGAAGGAATAGCGTGAGCTGTGGATAAAGGGGAGCTGGTTAGTTTTCCAGAAGCATTTTTGATAAGGTGCCAAATCAAAGGCTGTTATGGGAAATAAGAGCTCATGGTGGAGGGGGCAACATACTGGCTTAGATGGTTAGTGCGTTTCAGAAAACAGTATGTACAAATGGATCTTTGTTTAATTGACAGGATGTAGAACATAGAACATTACAGTGCAGTACAGGCCCTTCGGCCTTTGATGTTGCGCCGACTGTGAAACCAATCTGAAGCCCATCTAACCTCCACTATTCCATTATCATCCATATGTTTATCCAATGACCATTTGTGCCCTTAAAGTTGGCGAGTCTACTACTGTTGCAGGCAGGGCATTCCACGCCCTTACTACTCTCTGAGTAAAGAACCTACCTCTGACATCTGTCCTATATCTATCACCCCTCAATTTAAAGCTATGTCCCCTCATGCTAGCCATCACCATCCGAGGGAAAAAGGCTCTCACTGTCCGCCCTATCTAATCCTCTGATCATCTTGTATGTCTCTATTAAGTCACCTCTTAACCTTCTTCTCTCTAACGAAAACAGCCTCAAGTCCCTC